ACAGCAAGTGTGATGGGCCAAATTAAGTACAGGTGAGGCACCAAGATAAATTAGGCTCTGCCTCCCAAAGGAGGTATTAGACCATAAGTATGAGATCCAAAACAATGGCAATGACACTCTTGAATGCTCTTATTTACATTGTAGGTATAAAATGATCAAGAGAATGGAGATCAAGAGAGGGATTTGTGAAGAGGATGTCTTTAAAGACAGGTGTGCAGAAAAGCACACCCATTCTCCTTGGTAAGGGGACCCCCTCCTCACCCCAAGTCTTGAGAGCTGCTTCAGCAGGACTGCCGAAAGGACTTGGTATGTTCCCTGCTATTGGGAGACTCTGGCCTGAGAAGACTACAGTGGAGCAGGGGGCTGCTGTACCTGGGAGTAACCGCACTCACCTCTAAGGGCCACCAAAGAGGTAAGAATCCTGGGGACTAGATGCAGACCTTGGCAGGAATGTTGGCCTGGAGTCACTGTAAAGGGGTCCTGGACCTCTGGTTCTGGCCCCCATGAAGTAATAAGTGTCAGTTGTACCCTCCTATGATAAACAACTATTAAACTGGACAAAGTCTCCCTATGTTTTTAATAATTTTAGCCATTGGACCACAGATAGCACAAGACTATGCTTTTTGGAAGAAGAAATCATCTCCTGAGAGCTCCACATCCGCCTGGTTCTCTGAAAGTGAAACCCATACTAACAGCTGTGGTCTTGCTGGTCAGAGAACCAGAGGTCAGAGTTCAGGGCTATGAACTGAAATTTTGGGACATGATACTGGAGAAGAGAGAACAGCACACAGAGGGAGCCCATGACACTGCATATGGGTTTTCTTGAGTCTTTGGCCAAATCTCAAGCTGCACATCCAGGTTGAGGCTCCACCAGACTGGGCAGAGACGAGCCACTGGAGGGCTGTGAGGCGAATGGAGATTCCAGAGGTGGTGAAGATCTGTGGAATGTTGGGATCCTGACAAGTTAGAGTGGAGAGACCTCTATGAACAGGCATTCAGCAGACAGTCAATAAAGACCTCAGAAAGACCATGCCAAAGGAGTAGGGCTGTTTTACCCCTAAAACAGGAGTGTATAAACTTTTTCAGTAAAGAGCTAGATTGTAAATATTTCAGTCTGTGTGGGCCATAGGCAAAAGGTACTTATATAAACTCTTACATTGTCCCTACCTGTTTGCCTCAGGTAGTCCATCCTAAGAGACAACATGCTTTGTGTCCAATTGTCAGTAGCTGGAGACATTTGGGGGGTGAAGAATGACCTGCCTAAGGAGGAGGGGCCAGGTGGGCAGGTAGAAGGGGGTGTGGCCACCCAGGTCAGTTTCTCTACCCAGCAACACCCAGATACAGGGCGTCTTCTCTCTTTCTGGAGGGTGTGACTGTTTCAGGTAGGTCTCTGACTCATGGACTGAGATTCCACCATGCAGCACAGTGTCTGAGAAAGCAGGTAGTAGTAGCAGAGAGGAGAACTGAGCAGAGTTGAACACCCAGCTTGGTCTCAGCAGCGCATGGCACTAACCCTGTCAAGCAGTGCCCACTGGCTGTACAAAACCATCTGGTAGGCTGGACTGGGCCCACAGGCTACCAGGTGCTGATCACTGCTCTAGAGACAGACCTCATCTAGATCCACCTTAACAAAGCCTCCAACTCAAGCTTCAATAGGATTGGGCTCTGTTGCCAGTAAATTATTTGAAGAATAAAAATACTTGAAGAAATAATGACTGCACATTCTACAAATCTGATAGAAAATATTAACCAACAACTCCAAGAGATTCAATAAACCTCAAGCAGGAGAAAAGGGACCCTGCCAAAAAGGCAAGGGACTTAGTCGTGAGGGTTATGGGGTGGATCACTTGGGCCAATAGTAACCAGCAGGAAGGTCATTACCTACAGGAGGGAACAGAATATCCTTCTGTCCACAGAACCCACATCTGCTCCTACAGACTAAGCGGCAGGTCCAGAGTGTGACATCAGCTTGTAAATCGGCAGAACTTTCCCACCCCCTTTGGAGCTCTTCCTTACTCCTACTTCTTAGGTAGTTCAGAAACAGCAAGTGAGTGAAGACTGGCATGAGGGAGGAGGAAAGGACCACCCCTTTTCCAGATCACAGGCTTCTTCTGGCTCCTACACCAACTGGGGGCAGGAAAGAAGATTCATTTTACTATTAAATCAGGTTTGTAGTTAGGATCAGAGCTTCTCAGACTTTAGTGTGCACATTGATCACCTGGGGATCTTGTTAAGCCACAAGTTCTGATTCAGTAGGTCTGGGGTGGAGCCAGAGACTTCACGTTTCCATTCCTAACTAGCTCCTGCTTGAGGCTAGTACTGTTGCCCACCCCCCCACCACCACCACCATAATTGGAATGGTAGAGATTGTAGGGATTTAGATTAATATCTGGGCTTAAACATTTCAATTACTGAATTGAGACTATGTTTGTGACATGAAACAACACAGATTTTCTAGACCTATGTGTGACCAGAAAGTCATGAGTACTACCAGAGATTTCATGCTGGGGCTAGGGAAGGATCTCCCACTAACCTATTTCATAGGGACAATGGGACACAAAAATAAGGCTGCTTTTGTGATTACATTCCATGAGTCCTTCTGGTTTATTGCACTGTTCACACTGGCAAAGGCACAATTTCTATTAGCTCTTTGCATTCACCTTCCTGTCCCCAGTACTTAGTGCCTGGGATGGTTAATTTTGTGTCAACTTGGTGAGGTAATAGTACCCAGATATTTGGTCAAACCACAGTCTTTATATTGCTATGAAGGTAATTTTTAGGTTAGATTAACATTTAAATCAGCACACTTTGAGTAAAGCAGATTACCCACCATAGTGTGAGTGGACCTCGTGCAATCAGTTGAAGGCCATGAGGGAAAACAGATTGAGGTCCCCTGAAGAAGAGGGAATTCTGCCTCAAGAACTGTCTGCAGATTGAGCTGCAAGATCAGCTCTTCCTCTTCCCTGGGTCTTGAGCCTGCTCTGCAGATTTTGAACTTCACCACCTCATAATTGCATGAGTCTAGATAGGTAGGTAGATAGGTAGATGGAGAGGTACATATTGGCAGGAGCTTTTAAGGACACTTTTAGGATTCTCCATTCCTTTGGAGAATCATAATAGAGTGCCCCTAAAGGATCCTGTATCTACACTATAAAGAGGCTCAAGAGCAAGACTCCAGCACCTCGAAAGCCATCCAGATCCCTCCCACCTGCACTCTCAAGGCTGATTTAATCACAATCTCTTCAAGTCCTGTCTCATTGCCCTTCACCCACATTTGTTATTCAAAACCACGTTAATGATTTTGAGGGCCCGTCTGTAAGAATTACTCCCAGCTTTGACTATAAAAGATGAATAACTCAGTTTCTGCCCTTCACGGGGATGTTAAAGTTCTGAGACTACGGCTTGTAGCTGGGCTCTCTGAGGCTCTGTAACTGTTAGAGGAAATGGAGTAAGTGCCACACAGCTCGGCATTCATTGCATCTGGGTGCCAGGTCTATGAGACACATCTGAGCTCCTATACAGCACAAGACAGGTGCCACCTAGGACCCAGCATTCACTGGACAGACTTCACCCTTGAGTAAGGTGAAAAGTAGATGCCAAGAAACCACTCTTATTTTTGCGACTCCCATCATTATCACTTCATGTCTCTCCTTGTTACCACGATAAACCCACTATGCCTAGGGACTTGTGGATTTTCCTGTGAAGCGGGCCATGGTGTCTCAGCTTTATGCCATGTGACAAATGGATTTGGTAGATGATCATTCGGACAGCATGTGCAGCAAGACAGCCCTTCACCACAGCAAGCAAGGCAATTTTATGTTGTTATAAGTAGATATTCTGCAGAGTTATACTTTGCTAAAAGGTTGTTGCTTTCTTGCTACTTTATGAGGACACTTTAAGAAGTTCATGAAAAAATAGAATTAAAAGATAATATGAATCCTTCCATGAACTTTTTGAAGTACCCTCATATCTTTATTAGGGAGTAAAGTAAGCCACATCCTTCAATGCCTCAAAGGGAAAGGAAAAACCTTCATTGACTGACACTGCTGTCAATCATAAAAGTTGCCCACAGCCTCAGGCAGGAAGAAGTGGCTGCCCCTGGGTTAAAGAAGGAAGGAGAATTATGGGGCTCCTGCTCTCTGCCCAGACCTCTGAGATTGTTCAGGGAGAAAACATTCACTGAGAAGACACAGCGCTGAGAAGGCAAGAAATGTGCTAAGCCCACTATTATATGGTTATTGGTCCATGTTATCTTGATTAGAAAATAATGAGGCATTCTTTAAAATAAAATTCCTTCTGATTGGTTTCTGTCTTTGGCTGTTCTTAACTTTTACTCAATGCATTATAGGAAGGAGGGGGAGAGGGAGGGGGAGAAAAAAATCTATTATTCAATTTTGTACCTTACAAAGATTTGGCCAAAATTTCCACTAAAAATGTTCACTGAATTAGACTTCACCTCACTCAAAGCCTCCTTTTATAAGTCACTTAACTGCTGCAGTGCATTACAAGTCTTCAAAGAGCTTAAGGCATTTCATGCTTTTATTATAGTCAATACAGAATTTCAAACTAAAATTCACGATGCTATACTTACATGTACAAGGAAAATTATAATATTTTAAAATCCAACCAAAGTTGAAGCCCTTAAGTTGGTTTTCTGCAAGTGGAATAGTCCCTTATTCAAGGTCTCACTGATTTACAAGTCAAAGAGAATCGAATCCTTTAAGGTTTTTCACATTGACTTGATCATATCACCCAGGCAACACTCAAATGAGGCTCCAAAGATAAGAAAGCCAGAAAAGCTTTATAAATGTCCTTTCTTCCATGATTACCACAGTCTTAGGTTCACCAATTCATGGAATAAGTTGGAAGAGATCCTAGACCTATTTCGCAGATAAGCAAACTGAGGCACAGAAGCGCGTGAGGTGTGAACTGCTCTGCGGCCATGGGGTAATCATGGGTTTGCCTCTGCACCTTGTCTGTGACTCTGAGTCTTGCTCNCCCTTATTCAAGGTCTCACTGATTTACAAGTCAAAGAGAATCGAATCCTTTAAGGTTTTTCTCATTGACTTGATCATATCACCCAGGCAACACTCAAATGAGGCTCCAAAGATAAGAAAGCCAGAAAAGCTTTATAAATGTACTTTCTTCCATGATTACCACAGTCTTAGGTTCACCAATTCATGGAATAAGTTGGAAGAGATCCTAGACCTATTTCGCAGATAAGCAAACTGAGGCGCAGAGGTGCGTGAGGTGTGAACTGCTCCGCGGCCATGGGGTAATCATGGGTTTGCCTCTGCACCTTGTCTGTGACTCTGAGTCTTGCTCAACGCCATCTGTTTATGGAGAGGCGAGCTTGCCAAAGAAGAGAATTGTGTTGGTATGAATGTGCCTTATAAAGAACAGGAAGGGGTGATTGGCCAGGAACCGAGCTCGGAGGGGGAGTCTTTTGACAGCGATGCTGTCCCCAGCAGCTGCTGCCGCCTCAGTGCCCTCTTCGTTGACATCCACGTATGACTTGTGGATGACCTTCGATAAATACAGGCCCTTGGCTGGTGATATTCCAGAAAGATCAGCTTTGATCTGGTTGAAGACATCTGTCATCCCTAGGGATTTTAACAGGGAATTTAGCTCATACTTGATCTCAAGTTTGAACCGCGGGATGTGTACTTCAACTTCTCTTTCCATCATGTTAGACGAGCTGGTCCACTCGTGAAATGTCCTCACGTTCAGCTGTTTTTCCACCTAAGACACAAGGCACAGATGAGCCCACGTGAGCCAAACCCACAGCCTCTGCCTTCAATGCTGTTTGTTTTTATAATTTTAGTGTGAGTGGTTCAATTTCATCTCTTTTTCCCTACCTTTAAAATATCCTGCTTATCTGCAAAAAAAAATCTAGCATTTGTCCACATCTCTTCTATTGTCTATTTCTCATCTATACTTCATAATTAAACTTTTCAATGTGTACCGACAGTTCTTTGCTCAGCATTCACGCTTCCCCTAAACA